CCTTCCTTCCTTCCTTCCTTCCTTCCTTCCTTCCTTCCTTCCTTCCTCCTTCATTCTTCTCAACAACAACAGGTAACAATGAGGAGAATTATCTCAGCAACAAATCAGAATATATTGTTTTCTTCTTCTTCCTTCCTTCCTTCCTTCCTCCTCCTCCTTCTGCTCCTTCTTCTCAGCAAGTCACAACACAGATGTCTATTCCTTCTTCTCAGAAGCATATGGCAGAAGAGAACACTTCTGCCTCTCACCGGCTGACTAACCATCCCAGCAACAAGTGGCAATGAAGAGTTACAGTCTTTTCTTAACACAGTTCTGCAATCTGTCTTCCTCTTCTAACTTTTCCTGGTTCAGTAGCTAGGTCCTTCCTACCAATAACCCCATCTTAGCTTATGAATAGTAACCAAAATCTCATCTTCAATCTATAATAAGGTAAATTACATTTGTCCCATAATCATAAAACTGTTCTGACATTCATGTTTCCCAGGTTATTAACTGAAAAGATCTCCAGTTTTTCATGTGTAGATCACTGAAGTAGACTCCCATGTTCTACAGTTTGTCATGGACAAATGAGCAACAGCTATCGCAGAACTCTGAGTTAGATTTAATTCAGTAACTGCTTCTTTTAGAAGGCAGACATACCTCAAACAAGTGAACTTTCAAGGGTCATTCCCTAATCCTTATATTAAAAAAAAAAACTATGTTCGTTTTGAACATATTTCTTACTGTCATCCATTGTAATCAAAGAGGACCAAAACGGCGACATGATGTCAGGATCAATGTACCATGTGTCCATTTGTGGCTGATCAAACTAATACAAGCTCGGAAGGCTCTACCCCAGGTCAGACACAAATAGTCCATATGAACATTTGGGAAAGAGATGTCTCTAAATTTGCGTTATCCCATATACTTTTTTTTCGCAAGGCAATGGGGTGACTTGCCCAGGGTCACACAGTCAGTAAGCATCAAGTGTCTGAGGCCAGATTTGAACTCAAGTCTTCTTGAACGCAGGGCTGGTGCTCTATCCAAAAATACGGGTCCTGTCTTTTTTTTTTTTTTTCATCCCATATACTTTTTTTTAGGCAATTGGGGTTAAGTGACTTGCCCAGGGTCACACAGCTAGTGTCAAGTGTTTGGTCTGAGGCTGGATTTGAACTCAGGTCCTTCTGACTTCAGGGCCGGTGCTCTTTCCACTGCGCCACCTAGCTGCCCCCTATCCCACATACTTTTACATATGTGTGTTGTATATGTGCTTGCTTCTTCTGTATATACTCATATACATATATGTTGTCTCCCCAAAAGAATGTAAGCTCCTTGAGAGGAGAGGTTGTTTAATTTTTTAAATCTTTATGCCAGTGCCTGGCATAACACTTGGCACATAGTAATTGATTAATAAATTCTTCTTGATTGACTGATTCTGTTGGAGGGAAGCATTGTGTACACAGATTAGTAAATAATAAATTCAAAGTAATTTTTTTTGGTAAGGGATCATGGACAAGGGGAGGGGTAGAGAGAAGAAGAATCTTATACAGAAGGGGCCACTTAAACAGTGCCCTGAATGGATCTAGAAATTCCAAGGGGCAGATGTGAGATGGGAGAGTGTTTCAGAGACACGGGTAATACTGTATACGGGGAACATCTTTCACATCCACCCTGCTCACACAACCAACATCATGGTTAAGCCCCTCATTGCCACCTAGCTGGACTATTGCAATTACCTCCTAATGGATCACCCTACATAAAATCTCTCTCTCATATTCAACTCACCCTCCACACAGCTGCTAAAGTGATTTTCCCAAAGCATGGGTCTGACCATATCGGTCTGCTCTCAGTAAGCTCTGTGACCCCCTATTATCTAAAGGTTCAAACACAAAGTCCTTGTTTAACATTTAAAGCCCTTTCATAGCCCCAAACTACCCTTCGAGCCTTATTTCCCTGCTTGCTCTCTATGGTCTAGTCAGCCAGGCTGGTGCCTCTGCACTGGCTGTTCCTTTGCCTGGAATGCCCTCCTTCACCTGTACCTCTTAGAATTTCCTACTTTCTTTTCATACTTGGCTTAAGCACCACTTTCTGAATAAAGCCCTCCCTGCTGATGGTCAGAATCACACTCTGTTGTGTCCTGCCCACCAAAATCATCTCTTTTGTAGATACTCGTGTATGTGCCCATTGTCTCCTCCAATAGAATGTAAACTCCTTGAGGACAGGAACTGTTTCACTTTTCTTTTTGTACCCTCAGCACCTAGCACAGTGCCTGGAACATGGTAGGTGTTTACACATGATTGTTGATTGGCTGACTATGAGGGGGAGGAATTTGTAAAATCAGACTAGAAAGATAGAATGGCCCAAGATTGGCTTTAAGTGCCAAACGAAGAGTTTTTATTTTATACAATGGTCAATAGGGAGCCAGTGAAGGTCTTTAAGCAGAAGAGTGACCTGATCAGACCTGTGTTTTATAAACACTCATTTCAATGATTGTTAGAAAAGAGGAATATGCCCTTTAATTTTGGGCATGATACCTAATAACTGAATTGGGTCCCAGTTCTGCTGTCTCTAGAAACTGTTTTTATTGATGTTGTTGTGGTCACTGGGCATATTGTTTCTTTGGTTCTGCTTTACTTAATGCAAGTCTTCCATGTTTCTCTGAATCCTTCATATTCATCATTTCTTATAGCCTAATAATATTCTATTGCCTCCACTTGAGAAAATAGGCTGTGGTTCCCATTTAGAGGTTTCTGATGATGGTCCAAGATATTCATGCTAAAAATTCTCAATAGTGACTTAAACAGTAAATAACTGTAACTAATATTATGAATTATAGATTAAATTACCCTAGAGGTTCACAACACATTTTTATTGTTATTATTGAAAGGGGTTCCTGGTACAAAAAGAGTTGGGAACCACTGACCTAGGCCAATATCTTCTCAGCAAGACATAACCCTCATGATATCATAGGTCTTCTTCAGGAACAGAGGATGGACAACAGCATTTTCTCAGAGCAGATCCCATCTACAGAACCATGAAGTATAAGAAAAATTGGCAGCTAAAGTCTCTGCCCTCACCTCATCCTGGGCCACTTGTGCGGTCCGATAGTCATCATTGCGCTCCCGATTCCTTCTTGTTCTCTGCCAAGAAATGAGAAGTTACAGTTAGTACCACTTTCTTTCTCCCATTAGTTACATCTTGTCTACTGAACACATGAATTCTTCACTCTAGCCTTCCTCCAAGGTCTACTTGAAACATGGAGGTGAACCTAACATTCTCGAAGGTTCTATCAATGAACCATAAGACCTGAGGTGGGGGATGGGGGTGGGCACTTTGAGTTGGAATGACTCAGAGTATAAGCCCAGAAACACAGTGTGGCTGCCAAACTGGTATCGGCCTGGTGAGGCTGAAAGAATTTAAGTATAGGGAGTTTGCTATAAGGTAATGGATTTTGAGGCAGCTAGGTGGCACAGTGGGCTTGGAATCAGAAAGACTCATCTTCGTGAGTTCAAATCTGGCCTCAGACACTTAGTAGCTGTGTGACCCTGGACAAGTCACTTAACCCTGTTTGCCTCAGTTTCTTCATCTGTAAAATGAGTGGAGAAAGAAAGGGCAAACCATTCCAGTATCTTTGCCCAGAAAACTCCAAATGTAGTCATAAAGAGTCAGAAATGACTGAACAACAACAAATGAATTTTGGAAGCCACAGCAAGCATGGTGTGCTGGAAGAAGAATTGAATTTGGAGTTAATCTCAGGTCAGCCACTGTCACCTGGATGACCTTGGCCTAATCACTTTAGCTTTGATGGTCAACTAAGAAACCACAGGGTTGGATTAGACAGTGCTGTGTGGGTAAATATTTAAAAACCAACCCCGCCTCCCACAAAAAAAAAAATCCAAAATGTACACAAGACAAACTTTTAAGTTGAATCTGCATTTTAAACATTTTCTCCATCACTTTTTTAAGTCTCTGCAATCAATAAAACAACAGGTCAAACTCCGATTTGCAGCATTTGTCAATTTCTGAGTTGTAAATGCTCACACTGAAAATTCAGTTGAGCTTCCTCCAGCACAACCCTAATTAGATGGCCACTGGGGTCCCTTCTAACTTTACATGGTTCTTTTTTTTTTAAATTTTTATTTATTTATTTATTCTTAGGCAATTGGGATTAAGTGACTTGCCCAGGGTCACACAGCTAATAAGTGTCAAGTGTTTGGTCTGAGGCCGAATTTGAACTCAGGTCCTCCTGACTTCAGGGCCAGTGCTCTATCCACTGTGCCCCCTAGCTGCCGCCTCTACATGGTTCTTAACCTGAGGCCTATGAATTTGTTTTTAAAAATATTTTGATAACTATCTTTCAACATCACTGGTTTCCTTTGTAATTCTATGTCTATTAAAAGTCTTTTGATAACTATATTTCAATATCATATATAAAAGATTTTTATGACTATATTTCAATATTATTGGGTTCCTTTGCAATTGTAGGTATAAATAAAATATTTTGGTAACTATATTTCAGTATCATTGGTTTCCTTTGTAATTCTATGTCTATGAAAATATTTTCATAACTATATTTCAATATCATATGTAAAAGATTCTTATAACTATATTTCAATATTATCGAGTTCCTTTGCAATTGTAGGTATAAGTGAAACATTTTGGTAACCATATTTCAATATCATTGATTTCCTTTATAATTCTATGTCTATTAAAATATTTTGATAATTATATTTCAATATCATATGTAATAGATTCTTATAACTATATTTCAATATTATTGGGTTCCTTTGTGATTGTAGATATAAATAAAATATTTTGATAACTATATTTCAATATTGTTGGTTTCCTTTGTAATTCTATGTATTTTTATGCATTGTTTACGCCTTTAAAACCACGATTCTAAGAAGCATCCCATAGGCTTCACTAGACTGCCCAAGGCTTCCATAGTACAAAAAAGGTGAAGAATTCCTACTATAAGCTCTAAACTTATAATCCTTTGATACCTGAAGCAAGGATGAATGGTGTTCCCCAAGGATGGAAGGCGACTCAGGAGGGATGAAATGACAAAATTTTTAAAATATGAAATAAATGCAAATACATGCAGTTTCCATGGTTTCATCAGCAAAGGAAATTTCAAGGATAGAAAAGTTTTGTCTATCTCTACAGACAGGTTGCAACCTGTTTATGACTTCATCAATAAAAGAGTAAGAGAACTGGGGCCTGAGGCCCAAAGACCTTCTGCCAGTGTCCACAGAGGGTTGCAGAAAAAGGAAATGGAAGCCTCAGACTTCAGTTATGTGAGAACGCGAAGGCCCTCAGGCTCTAGCTGAGCCAGAATCCAAGCCATGGCAGCCACAGACTAAAGGCTGAGCTTTGTGACCAAGTGTAGGCAAACAGGAAGGTAGAAAAAGCGCACCACATGAACTGCAGGCTGCTCGTTCTGAGAACATAAGTCATTCCGGAGCATTTTAAAGCCTGCTGTTGAGAGACCGTTCTTAAACGAGGTACACCCAACCCCAAGGTGTCAGTGGAGAGATATCAAGGGCTCGTGAACTTGGAATAAAAAAAAAAGACATCTTTATTTTTGCTAAGCTCTAGCCTCCTTTGTAATCTCATATATTTTATTTTATGCACTCAAAAACATGATTCTGAGAAGGAGCCTATGAACCTCATCAGACTGTCCAAAGGGGTTCATGGCGCCTAAAAGGTCCAGGTTTAGAGATTTCTGCGACTCTTAAGATCTCTTAGGTTACCCCCATTGCCTTCAGATAAACATTCCATCTTGATTTATAATCCTAAGGCCTTTCCCCCTATCCTATCAGAATCAAAGGGGAGACTTGAACCCAAGTGTTCCTGACTCCAGCTCCACTCTACAGGTCTACTCAGAATCCCTATGATCTGGAGTCTTGGGCCTTCCAAGCTGAAATTCCTTCTCTAACTGCCCTGGCCAGTTCTTGCGTCCTCATCCGTGTTACACTGTTTAGCAGTTCCAACAGCTGGGTTTGAATCTCAGCTTGGCCACCATCATCTGTGTGACCTTAGCCCAATCATTTAATTCCTCTGGGCCTTAATTTCCTCATCTGTAAAATGATAGGGTTGGATTAGACACAGGGCTGTGCTGGTCAATATTTAACAACCAACTCCCCGAAAACAATCAAACAAAAATGTATGTAGGACATGACTTTTAAGTGTAATATACATCATTAGCATTTTCTCCATCACTGTTAAGTCTCTATAATCAGCAAAGCAATAAATCATGCCCCGATTTGTAGGGTTTGTTGATTTCTGAGGTATAAAACTGGAGAAAATGATTTCCAACAGTTTAAAACTGATTAGAAATGATCTCCTCCAGCCTCTTGGTGGTCACACAATGGAAAGGTTGAGGTGTGAAGACTGTAACACACTTCTGAGCCTATTTACTTTTTGTTGTTTGTAAAAAAGCACTTGAGATGGTAGAGTCAGATGCAGCCCTAAAACAAAGCATCTCCCACGTGCATTTACAAGACTCTTGGTAGAGATGAATTTGTTCAACCATCCTTTGATTAAAACAAGAGAACGTAACATCTGAGAATGTCATAAGTAATTTAAGAGTATTTTAAAGCCTGTCATTGAGAGCAGGACTTCTTAACCTGAGGTACACAGACCCCAAAGGTGTCAGTGGAAAGATTTCAAGGGTTTGTGAACTCAGATGAAAAAAATAGGTGGGTGCTTGCTAATATCTTCACTGCTAGAGTAATAACAGTAATAGCTATTATTAGCTATTGATAATGAAGGATATTCCCCTAAAAGTACAAACAGAATTCAAGTCAGCCAGAATTATTAAGTGCCTACTGTATGGCAGGAAATGTGATAGGTAGGCACTGGGGAGGCAAAGAGAATATAGAACAGTCCCTCAACCCTAGAGATTTGGATAAACTGGGTTTTTCAGAAATAGTTGAAGCAAAAATGGTGGTAGCCAAAGTGAAGGTGATTGACTGACCCTAAGAAAGGTATGATCAACACGTCAGAGCGGGTAGAAGGGTCACATCCCACTCTCCTTGCAGTAGACACTGGTGGGGCTTGTCTCTAACACAACCAGGCTTCATGCTCATCTGTGCCCCCTAAAATCCACCTCTATTCCACCCCCAACCTCCCTGGGCATTTCCCAATTAGCCCAATTCTGAGTTGGCTGTTGGCTCTTTGGGTCAGTTATAACCAATCTACTGCCACCATGGAACCCACAACAGTAGTGACAGAGGTACCAGTGGGAAAACCCCCAGCATGACCTTTTTCTGCACCATTTCCTTTTGGGTTTGGGTGGGCTACAGTGAGTCATTTAAAAAGGGCTAGTATGGGTGGGTTATGAACTGTATCACAAGCTTCATTTTACTTTTCCTTCCATATCTACCTTTCTTCCAAACTTCCCTATTTCTTTTTTAAAATTTATTTTATTTTCCTTTACTTTTAAATTTCTATTTAGTATTTTATTTTTCTCCAGTTACATGTAAAAACAATTTTTAACATTCATTTCTAAAACTCTGCAACCTTCCTCTTTCTATCAAGGGCACCACCATCCTCCCAATCCCCCAGACTCACAGGCCCAGCACCATCTTTGATCCTTCACTCTCCCTCACCCTCCACATTCAATCGGTTTTAACCTCCATAATCTCTCCGTCCCCTCTATGTACCCTTCTCTCTCCTCACAGCCACCACCCTAGTACAGACCCTCATCTCTTGCTTGGACTACACTAATAGCCTCCTAATTTGTTTCTCTGCCTCAAGTCTATCCCCATCGAATCCACTCAACTGCCAGAGAGATTTCCCAAATACAGGTCTAACCGTGTCACCCCCCACTACTCAATAAAGTCCAGTGGCTCCCTAGTGCCTCCAGGATCAACTGCTTTATCATCTTTGTCTTCTCCTTCAGAAGCTGTTATTCTCCAAGTTTTATAAGGTTCAGGATTATTAGTATATGTATGCAATTTATATAATAGGGAAACATTGGGAGCGTGAGCTCAAAACATTTTTTATCGAGAGGGGTGCATAATGAAAAGGGTTTGGAGGCTGGTCCAGAGAAAGAAAAATTTCTACCTTTTGGCTGAAATGATCAAGAAAAATGTGTGGGTCAAGCACTTTTCTGCACCTACTATGTGAGTTTCCTCCTCTTCCTGCAATCTCCAGGCCAATTCTTCATCTTGTTGGAGCTGCTCCTGACTCTGGAGCTCCAACTCAGCCATCCGCCAGTTGATGGAGTCTGTGCCGTCATGTTGGGGGTGACTGACATCTAAGCAAGAGGAAGCAATCAGAGCCATCAACTTCAACTAGGATTGAAGAAAGGATTTCTAGAGCAGAGGTATCAAACACACTGCCAAGGGGACCCCCTAGTGCTGCCCGAGCTCGATTAAAATGTAACTGGGAAGTATTTAACAAAATAAGTAAAAACACAATAAAACATCAATAATGTTACATTTTAAAACTAAGTCAACATGTGGTCCATATGGGGACCCTTGTGTCCAGTTTAGTGGCCCCTGTTGACCCCAGCTGGGTATCTTGCTTTGATGTCTGTATCTGAAAAGGGGAGTTTTTTAGCTATAAATTTTTTTTTAAATATCCATGACACGGTAGGTAGAGAGCCAGCCTTGGAGCATGGAAGACCGAGGTTCTAGACCTCTCTCCGACCCGGACAAGCTGGGCGCCCTTCAATCACACGCTCTGCGCTCTTCGATCTGCAGGAGGTCTTATCTTCCTTCAGATGGCAACGGTTTTCAGCAATGGGACTTAGACACCGTAAGGAGGTGTCCCCAACCAAGAGGGATGAAATTCGAAGACTCTTAAGTCCCATATGAGGAGCTGACCTACTTCAGCAGAGGAAGCTCCCTCCCTGGGAATTCCCTCTGTTGACTGAATCTCAGGTCCAATCCTTCAGTCTGCCTCTACCTCCCTCTTCCCCAAACCACATAAGCTTTAGAGAGCCCGAGGGTAAAGAATGGTTCTCTTCAGTGGAAACAGCTCTTTCTTTGGAGGCGGGGGACCGGGTCCCATTCTGACGCCATCTTTCCCTTGGGTGTCTTTGGGCAAGTCTTCATACCCCTGGGCTTCAATTTCCTCTTCTGCAAAACCAGAACACCCCTGAGGTTCCTCCTGCCTCTACACCTATGATCTACGATCTAGTTGTGAGGAAATTCTTTTTTTATAGCAGGGCTAAATTGGTCTCTTTTCAACTTCCCCCTATTGTTCATAGTTCTGCCTTATGGTGCCAAAGAGAAAAAAAAAATCTAATCTTTTTCCATGGGCAGCTCGGTGTCTCCGTAGTGCACAGAACATCAGGCCTGGAGTTAGCAAATTCATCTTTGTGAGTTCAAATCTGGCCTCAGACACTTACTAGCTGGTGACCCTGGGTGAGCCACTTCCCCCGTCTGCCTCAGTTTTCTCATCTGTCCAATGGGCTGGAGAAGGAAATGGCAAACCAGTATCTCTGCCAAGAAAACCCCAAATGGGGACGTGAAGAGTCAGACACGGCTGAAAAAATGACCAAACAACAGCAGTCATCTTTCTCCTCTTCCAGGTGATATCCTTCAGATATCTGAAGAAAGCTGTTACGCTCCCCCTCACCCAGCCCACTCTTACCCAGTTCCTTCAACCTGTTCTCACAGAGCATGAACTTGAGGCCCTTTGCCATCCTGGTTACCTCCTTTGGAGAGTTTATCGATGCTTTTCTGGAAATGCGGTGTCCCAACTGACCACAATGTTCTCAAGTACAACATTCCATCTCAGTGCTCTCAGAGGTTGAAATAGAAAGCTTTCCTCTTCATTTCCTTTTAGGAAAAACAACTATAATCTTTATGAAAAGACTTTCTCCACTTTCATCTTCTTTATTTCTTGATTTGGGAGACATACCACTATTTTTTTTTTTTAGTGGAGGGAAGCAATTGGGGTTTGAGTGACTTGCCCAGGGTCACACAAGTGACTCAGACATAAGTGTCTGAGGCTGGATTTGAACTCAGGTCTTCCTGACTCCAGGGCTCTATCCACTGTGCCACCTAGCTGCCCCAGCATACCTTTATTTTTGCTGTGAGTGAACAGGCAGTATGGTATATTTGCTGTTCAGTTATGTCTGACTTTTCATGACCCCATTTGGGGTTTTCCTGGCAGATACTGGAGTGGTTTGCCATTTCCTTCTCCAGCTCATTTGACAGATGAGGAAATTGAGGCAAACAGAGGTTAAAGGACTTGTCCAGGGTCACATAGCTAGTGTCTGAATCCTGATTGGAACTCGAGACTTCCTGACTCCAGGCCCAGAGTTCTCTATCCACTGTGCCATAATTGGTGAAATATGTGTGATTTTAGACGGCATTCAGTTTCCCATCTTTTGGCATCTTTGCCATTTTTCTGGATGTGAGGTGAAGGCTTAGAGTTGTTATGCTATACATTTCTCTTATTATTGTTTATCTGGGAAGATTTTTCACATGAATGTTTCAGAATATGACAACTTTGCTTGGATCTTAAGAAGAAATATGAGAAGGCATGCCCCTGCCCACTTACAGCTCCCATTTCTTTGGAGAGGTGGGGGACTATGGGTGTGGAACGCTGTGAAGAATGTTGGTCTTTCTCAAAGTTTTGGTTAATTTTGCTGAATTTTTTTAAATCTTTTTTTTCTTTCTTGTTTTAAGAAAAAAATTATGTTGGGAAATGTCAGTGATAGAAAAGACAGAGGTATCAACAAAAATTGATAGTGAAAAAATAAACCACCACCACCAGGCAGGGACTGGATTCATTTCTGCTCTCCTCCTCAGTTCTATACCTCTCATGCTGTGGGAGCTTGGAAGGGAAGACGCCTCTTCTAACTCTTGCAATTTCTTGGCTATTTCCTGTGACAGGAGAAAAACAAATAAGCAGGAAAAGGAATAAACCAAAACACTCAGGAAATAGCCCTTGGGAGCCCTCTTAGAAATTTGAAGCAGGCTGGTGAAACCTATCCACATCACTCAACTTTGTTTTGTACACCATGCACTTGTAAAAAGTTGGGTATTCCTGCCTCCTGCCACAGACACAACGTTTAGCATAGCTATTACAAGGTTTTTACCCTTCCTACCTTCCTTCCTTCCTTCCTTCCTTCCTTCCTTCCTTCCTTCCTTCCTTCC